ACAGGTATCACTATGAAACGTTGTACTGATTACATTCAGTCCTCCTCAAATGTATTCTTCCATTAAAGAAAAGGTTAAATTCACAAAAGTCACTCAAATAACTCGAAACTGAAAAAAGTAATAATAAATAAAAATTTGCTAAATTATAATTTGGTAAAATAAGACGTTGCTTTTGAATTGTGGTTGAAAAGAATAATTAAAAAAAATACAATAAAATAAACGTAAAAAACTCTGGGTTCTCCGGCTTCCTCCCACACAGTCCAAAAACATGTTGAGGTTAATTGGTGATTCTAAATTGTCCGTAGGTGTGAACGTGAGTGTGCTTGGTTGTCTGTCTCTAAGTGTAGCCCTGTGATAGACTGGTGACCTGTCCAGGTGTCCCCTGCCTTCACCCTGAGTCAGTTGGGATAGACTCCAGCCCCCCATGACCCTCGTGAGGATTAAGCGGTGTATAGATGATGGATGGATGAATACATTTATCACCAAAACGAAAAAATAATAATTTTCAAAAATTTAGTTAGTTGTTGGTAGAAACAACTTAGTTTTGTCGTATCGACATGTGACTGCCACACGTCTTCCTGTCATTAGCTTCAGAGCTGGAAAATCCATTTTTAAGACATCTTAACAGTATTTTTTCCCCCCAGAAAGTTTTTTTTTTCATTTCCTAGAAACTTCTTTCAGAGAAAGTCTTTCTATCCGTTGAAAACATATTTAAAAAAAAGAAGTGAAAGCTGTTGGTCGGTCTAAATATACACTGATTTGCATTGATTTTTTAAACACTAGACAAACCAGCTTCACACTGTCAGCTTCATTTTTTGACACCATACACTCCGGGGTTTTTCCACAGGACATTTTATTTCTCTTTTTATTTCTCCAGTAAATCACAAGTTGCTGTCAACAGCCAGAAGCAGTACAATTTTTGCCATGTTTTTAGGAGTAAAATGATGTATAAACATCATAAATGATATGTGTATAAAACCCTGAGCAAAAGCCTTAAACAAGAACAAACCTGGAAAGTTTGATGTCTGTAAGTAGTTCTTAAATAGAGGTCTCTGGCTCAGAGTGTGAATGACAATAGATTTAGAGAAAACAGCCTTTTGAGATATGTACGAGAAAGTTCCATGCTTTTAAAAAAAATAAATAAATTAAAGTAATTATAAAACAACTGTTTGAACTAAACAATATCACGATGAAACTTTTTCAGATTTTTCTATATTTTATGATGGAAAGGAGGTGTTGTCTCTCTAAATATGTAATAATTTGTATTGATTTTAAAGACGAATCTTGTTTTCTTTTTTTCATAACTCAGTTGTATCTAATTTTATTATGTTTTTAGAAATGAAATGCTCCCTAAATCAGGCTATGAATGATGTGTGATATGTGTAAAAACCCTACATGGGACTAAACTGATATGTTTGGTGGATGTCAGTGCTGCTGAAATGGAAATTTTTTGGTTTAGAGTATGACAAAAAAAAAAAAAAAACTAATTTTAATAATTAAGATTATTCTTCTTTCTGCTCCCTTTCATTCAGGAGTTAGGAATGTTTGGGTCGTGTTTTTTTGTTTTAACTCAACGAATGAAATAAAAAATTGAAATAATTCTATGAAAACAGTAGATTTGCGCTATAAAACTCCAAAGATCAGATTTCCTTGAGCTGTGTTCTTCTGTTGGAGCAGCACACAGATGACATTTGATCGACTTACTACAAGTAGTAGATCAGGATGTGGGTTTTATAATGTTTTCTGTAATGAGTATTATCGTATTTCAGTGTTATAATGGAGACACACCAATCAGCCAAACACTGTGTAGATCCAGGACGGCTCTGAACCATCAGACTGATCAGTGTATTGAAAGAGTTTCAAAGTGATGGGAAGAAGACCTTTAAGATACCTGAGAGGCTGCAGAAAACAACGACCTTTAGTCTAGAACACACATGTGTTTAATAATACTTGTCCCTTCTATGTATTGCATTGTTCAGAAAAAGATCTGGTCGTACACAGTCACATGGCACAAAATTAGTAAATACCAGATTTAGAAAAGTTGTACTGCTTCACTAGATATATAATGAACTCCCTGTTGTAGCACAGTGCCGCATTAAAGGGAAATAAAAATAAAACATGAGTCTGGTTAGTTTAAAATAATAAAGAAAAGGGATCCCAGCTAAAGGGACAGAAAAAAGACCAAACACATGTTAGATTTAAGAGGAGGATACACACTAATATGGCTACAAATAGGCGTAATGTTATTGTAGATTACTATTTGATTAGTATAGGTCAATGTGAGTCTAATACAGACTCCTCTCTGTGTTTCTGCAGGCCTACATGCCTCGAGGTATGGCCAAGAAGAACCCAGATCAGTTCGATCCGTCTGCGCTGCTCAACCTGATCAACTACTGCCAGTGGTTCTCGTCTGTGGATCCAAAGTTAGTCAGAGAGGTAAACACTCATCTGGTTACAACTGAGATCAAGATAAGCTTCATTTGTCACGTACACATTTATACAGTGTGCAGGGAAACGGGTTTTATACCAGCATCCAGTTTCAATAAAAAGGAAAAAAGCTGTCATAATACATGAGGTTTAAAAGGTGTCCGTGTGTAGTTGCACAGTCCAGTTTTAAAGCTCAGAGTTGAGCAAACGCACGGCCTGAGGGAAGAAACTCTTCCTCATCCTCTCAGTGGCGGTCTTCAGTCAGCGATAGCGTCAGGAGGGAGTAAAGAGAGTTTCCAGGATGGCTGTGCTGCTTCAGGATCTTCACAGTCCTTGACCTGCATCGTTGGGTGTAGATGTGTAGAAAGTCTTTTGGTCTGATGAGAACAAAACTGAGCCGCTGGTCATCAGGCTAGTCGCTGTGTTTGACAGACACTAAACACTGCACATCATCACAAATGCACAGTCCCCACTGTAAAGCACGGTGGTGGCAGCATCATGATGTGGGGAGGATTCTCGGCAGCAGGTTTGGTAGAATGTGAATGTACATATCATAATTAGACACTGCTAATATGATTGTTTTCTCCTTAGTTCCTTTTCAAATGAACTGTTTTTAATTGATTCAAAATAAAAATAAACTTTTTTTAGCTGATATTCTGTAATGTATGAGAGTTTGTGTGTTTGTCTCCAGGTGATCCGATACAGGAACGAGCTGATGCATTCCTGTGATTTTCGTGTGACGGATGAATGGATGAGACGCTACAGGAACACTATGAGACACTTTTTGCAGCAGTTCAATGACGTACCGCGGATGGCAGCAGTTGGACAACAGATTGACGAGGTTAGTTGTAAAAAAAATCAATGATCACTCAGCCACACAGGTGTTGTTTTGTGTTACAGTTTGTGTGTACATGCATTTTGTTTCTTGTCCAGATGCTGGACGCTGATTTGTCAATACATGTCGCCGGTGTGGACGCTATTGATTCTGCTGGCTCGGTGGATGGATTAGAGTCTGATTCTGTCAATCTGACCGGACCAGAGATCAGCGCCGGCTTAGTCAGCCAATGGGAATCTGAGTTGCTGCAAGAGATGTTGCAGGAGATCCTGCAAGTTGGTGCTGAGGAGGGTGACACAACGGCACAGGTCGGTAGAACACATGTAGACGTCCATATGCACTTGTACACTTAGTACATATGCGTAATACATAGAAAGAACATGTTGGGCTACACGTCTTTCACCCACCGACTTTCTGTCTCTTCCTCAGGACGCCCAGCAGTTAAAGAAGCTGGGCGGCTTCCTGCAGGCCAACAAGGATCTCGGTGAGAGGTTTTCTGCGGAGCTCCGAGCCATTAACTCTCTGGAGGCCAGACACTAATAAAAAGGAGTGAGTGAAGACGAGGATGAGGGACGCGTTTTGCACCAAGTTTTTGTATTACTTATTTGAAATGGGCCAAGATCAGAATTTAAGTTGAAGAACAAAGGATTTATGAGCCTGCACACTGTGTCATGATAACACAAATAAAAGATTTTGGCAAAATCACTTGACTCTTTCCTGAATGGTTTGTAAAAAAAAAAAAATAGAGGTAGAATGTGTCCAATGAAAGAAATGACAGCAGCAGCCAAAAAGGTGTAACTTGTGTTAAGGCCCTCTCACTATGCAAAAACTGTTTGAACAAGCCGCAGTGTAGACCATAAATAAATGCTATTCGAGTGTGGTGGATGTGGCAATAATGAGTGGTCTTTGAAGCAACCCTGAGAGCATGAGGAGGAGGATCTGTGGGGCTGAATTCTAAGAACAATGTCTACTAAACACCAGACACACTTCATCATGTGGCTCGTACCATATCTACAGTGAAGCACGGCGGTGGCAACATCATGCTATGCGGCTATGGCTCAGAGTGAGTCGGTCAATGATGGGAAGGTCGGCGGTTCGATTCCGCCCTGTAACCTGCGTCATGGTCGTTGTGTCCTTGGGCAAGATGCTTCACCCATCTTGCCTGGTGTGAATGAATGGATTGTTTGAGGTGGTGGTCGGAGGGCAGAGTGGCAACCACGCCTCTGTCAGTCTGCCCCAGGGCTATAATCGTAGCTACCACCACCGGAATGAATGTGTGTGAATGAACTGACAGTGTGAAGCGTCTGTGAGTGCCTAGAAAAGCCCGATATAAATCTGATCAATTATTATTATTAAGAGCTTCTGAACAGGAGATCAAGTCCTTCATGAAAACTTTCTTGAGATTGCAGAGACCTGAGACTGGAAGGACAGGTCACCTTTCAGCATGACAGTAAATCTGATGGAAAAGCCAAAGCAATGATGAAGTTTCTTCTGTCCTTGAATGGCCCAACCAAAGCCCAGACTGTGGCAGCTGCCGTCTTTGTTTTGGCATCAGCACCACCTTCTGGAGATAGTGAACTCCTACAGTAGCTATCAGCCGTGGAGAAGCACCATTGACCCAGTCGGGGTTGAGCAGAATGAGTATTCCTATGTTATTTGTAAGCTGTTTAAACATTCATTTATTTCACCTTTGTAATCCACCCAAATTTGTTAACCATTTGAGACGAGGAATAATTAGTCCAGTTGCTGAATCTTCACTTATCCTGAATCTACAAAACCAAATATAAATGTTAGTTAGTAAGTCAGAGGAACTAGTGCACTTGTGGTTGTCGCTGCTTTCTTGGCCTTGTTTCAAGCTTGTGTAGGAACAACCAATAAAGCAGCACAACCCCGAATGATTACATATTTAATTAAGAGTATTTTTTTTATTAGACTAGGTAGCTACACTGAGGTTAGATTTACCCTTTAGTTTGAAATGACTACAGGTTGAATGTAGAAATACACAGGTATGTGTTTTTAAGCACAACTCTATTATTTAATTTACTAATATTGATGTGTTTAAATTTGTAGTATCTATCACAATGATGCTTGCATGGGAAGGTCCTGAGGAGGGAAATCTGTGGTGCTGCAGTCCCTCAGTTAAGTCCTGATCTCCTTTAGAAACTGTCATTGTCTAGTAGGCTCTTCAATCCTTCTCCTTTTTCTCTCGTTCTGTAAATTTTTGAAGAAGAGAAACATGACGAGAAATAAACAAATCGTCTCCAGGACTGTAACATGAAGCAGGAAGATATATTAAAAAGATAACCTGCAAGAGGAAGGGGATGGGAGGGAGGAATCAGAGGAAACAAGAAGCTCAAAATATGACATATCCAAAAGTTAACAGTTAAAATTGAAGGGGAAACATTTAAAGCAGAAAGAGTACACTGGACATGTTTAGAGTGCTGTTAAAGTCTCAAACTGGAATCCTAAAAACAGAAGAAAAAAAAAGCTTTTCATAACATAAAACCTAACTTTACCTTTGGTCTATAGCCATCTTTATCAGAGTCTGGCCTCTAAAAGACAATGTACTATTAAGATACATAAATTACATATATATATATATGTGCACACATACATGCTGTATATTTACCGTATGTCTGTTTTTTAATCGATGCGTGTCTTCACTATTTGTCATTTGCACCTTCTGCATGAAATACCCTTCCATCGGTTACTGTCAACAAACTTCACCCCTCCGAATGAAAACCACAGGTGCAGCTGATGTTCTGTTTCGTGTGTGTGGGTGGCTGGATGGCTGGGTGGGTGGGCTGTTGGTTTATGTGTTATTGTGCATGTCCACCTGTTCATGTGAGTCTAACAGATGAATGTATTGTATGAATGTTTGTTGAAGATACACATGAAATTAATGAATCCAGTTACATGGATCAAACATTTTATTCAACAGCATCAAAAAGTCCCGAAAGCAGTGGAGAGAAATATTTTTTTATGGTGTTATTTTTCTCGTTCTGTAACTCTAAGAGCAAGAACTGAATTAAAAAAGAACCTAAGTGAGACAAGAGCTGCCACAGCGGCATACAGTGCTTTTGCTTTTCAACAGACAAAAGCTATTATTCAGGTTAAAAGAAAAAAAAAAAAAAAGTTCAGACATGTGAGGTGCAGCTGCATGACAGAAAAGTGTGAAAACCAGAAAAGCTTTTCCTGCCTCGTAGCCTTTCACACACTCATCTGTTGCTGCAGTCTGCTGCACCTTCCCTCAGTAAAGGCACAACTGGGTGACTGCCTGCCTGGCAGCATGGAGCGGGAAGGGATGCTGGTCCAGTCTATTTACTTTGGGGGAATTGGAAGCGAGGCCACGGAGAGGCTGCTGGAGAGGTTCGGACACGACGGCAGCTTTCTGCTGAGAGACAGCGAGACGGTTCAAGGGGCCTTCTGTCTGTGTGTGAGGTGAGCTGAGCAGAAGTGACGTCTAGTCATGCTGCATCATTCATATTTAATCCATCTGTTCATCAATAAATAAAATGAGCATGTTTAGTTTGTAGCAACACAACTTTATTCATACATCACGTAGAGATGAGCTGAGGAAGCCAGCTGGGCGTGTTGATGCAGCACGTTCACACAATATCTGCTTTGTGGAAGCGTAACGTCATGTTTTGCAATACCACATAGATAAACTGTCAGAAACCCGAACAGGGCCTGGATAAAATCACCTCACATGTAACAGTTTAGTGTGCTTTGAAGCTTTCCTTTGTCAAACTGACAAAATAAAAAAAAAAAGGAACAGAAAGTCAGCAAACTCTGTATCTATCTCTGAATCTAAACACCAACAAAAAAGCCTCTCATACTCATTTAAATTACAGTACGTGACGCTATTAGCCAAGAGTTAAGTGTTCCTCTTTGTAATTTCAGAGAAATAGTATTTCACAATCTGCGCGACATGATTAAAACGCCTGCTACATGAGGATAGTGACGGAGGAAGTATTCTGATTATCCACTAACGTTAAACCACGCTGTTAAAATGCTCTTTACAAATAAAGTTCCAGAATGAAGACACACGTAGAAGTCGAACCAAGCAAATGCACTGATTAGAATGATGAAATAGTATTAAAATGATTAACATACTGTAACAAATGATATTATCTGATGGACGTTATCGATGCATTGCTGCTTATGAAGCATTTTGCAGTCGATGTGGAGCTTATCTTTCTACACGTCATTTAGAAACCTTTAGATGAGGTTTATGGTTGAGCACAAAGCGACGCCATCGCCGTGCTTCATCTGATTCAAGCAGCAGTCCAAATCATAAAAAAAAAAAAAAATAAAAGGCAAACAAATGCATTCATTTTAGATTCTACAATTATCACATTTGGAGTTTTCTTTTAAGAAAAAGAGCTTCTATGTAGTTAAAAGCACCTTAAATGCGTTATATGTAAAAGAAACACACTGTAAAAAGCATAACGGCTTGTTTCCTTTTTTATTTTAAAGATTTTTTTCTGTAGTTGAAATACAATATATATCAATACAAGCACGGAAAAAAAAACGAAGTTGCACGTTTAATGTAAAATGAGATTGAAAACCTGTAACTCAGAATAAGTTACAGGTGGGGGGGGACTTAAAAATGTGTCAAGGACCACAGAAACTTCCGCTGCAGTTTAACTCAGCAACACTAGTGACTATATAAAGCATAAAAAATAAAATAAAACAATTTACAGTTGAAACCAGAAGTTTACATACACTGTGTACAAAGACGCACAACCTTTTTTTCTCTCTCTCACTGTCTGACATAAATCAAACTAAACTTTTCTTGGTATTTCTATTTGCTAAACGCCAGAATAATGAGAGAAAGAATTTTTTATTAGTTTCTTCAAAGTCAGAAGTTTACATACATTTCCTTTAAACTGCATGACTTGGGTCAAACGTTCTGGGTTTCCTTCCACAAGCTTCTCACAATAGTTTGATGAATTCTGGCCCATTCCTCCTGACAGACCTGGTGGAACTGAGTCAGGTTTGTAAGTTGCCTTTTCAGCTCTGCCCACTAATGTTCTCCAGGACTGAGATCAGGGCTTTGTGACGGTCACTCCACGACACTGACTTTGTTGTCCTGATGCCACTTTGTAAATAATTTGGTGGCATGTTTAGGGTCATTGCCCAAGCTTTAACTTCCTGCCTAATGCTGTAAGATGTTGCTTCAATATTTCCACATAATCTTCTTTACTCATGATGCCATCTATTGTGTGATGTGCACCAGTCTCAGACACAACATGATGCTGCCGCCCCTGTGCTTCACAGTTGGGATAGTGTTCTCAGGCTTCAAGCTTCCTCCTTTTTCCTCTAAATGTAACGATGGTCATTAAACAGTTGAATTCTAGTTCCATCAGACCACAGGACATGTCTCCACTAATGAAGCTCTTTGTCCCTGTGTGCATTTACAAACTGTAGTCTGGCTTTTTTATGTTTCTTCTGAAGTAATGTCTTCTTCCTCTCTGAGCAGCCTTCCAGCCCATGTCAGTACAGGACTGGTTCCACTGTGGATAATGACTCTCTGACCAGCTTCAGCAGCATCTTCACAAGGTCTTTAGCCTTTGTTCTGGGGTTGATTCACACATTTCAACTAGAACACTTCATCTCTGGAACACAAAACCTGTCTCCTTCCTGAGCGCTATGATGGCTGGACATTCCCATGGTGTTCATACTTGATATAACTGTTTGAACAGATGAACGTGAAACCTTCAGGCATCTGGAAGTTGTACCCAAAGATGAACCAGACTTGTGGAGGTCCACAATTCTCTTCCTGACATCTTGGATTAACTCAAATGTTGTCAAAAACCTATCAAAAGCTTCCAGTGCCATGACCATCATCATCTGGGCTTTCCCAAATAGTTTCAAGGCATCTTAGTGTATGTAAACTTCTGACTTTAAAAAAAAGTAATTTAAAAAATCTCTAAAAAACATTCTCTCTCTCATTATCCTGGCATTTAGCAAATAAAAATAATTGAGGTAATCCTAACTGACCTGAAACAGGAAGAGTTTAGTCTGATTTGTCAGACAGTGAGGGGGGAAAAAAAGGTGTTATGTCTTTTTAAACAGTTTATGTACACTTCTGGTTTCAACTGTAAATAAGTTCAAATCCAAATTTGAAGAGTTTAAGATCCACTTGTCAAAAAGTGTAAAAAAAATATATATAAGTAAATAAACAAAAAACATTACAAACTTGTTTATCTTCTCCCACTGCTGTCTACAAACTGTGTTTCAATGTTTTAGATGAAACAAAAAATGTCCTAATTTAAGAATTACAGTCATATGTCACAACGACACAAATTCGATCCAGCCACATGTGCAGAATGTAAAACGATAATCCTAACGTGCAGCTTCTAAAGCAAGGAAATCACACGAAAGAAAGATGGACATTATGAAACTTTCATTAAAATTCTTTAGCATTTAAACAAGCTCTAACAGTTATTATTCATAAATGAGATCTGGTTTAACTTGGAGCGTGCCGACTACAAAGCTGAGATCACTGATTCATCCTCGACCCCTGCTCCTCGTGTCATGTCACTTTCAGGTTTAATCATCCCGTCGGTTTTTTTTGGTGTCACACATCGCACAGACAGTCATTCAAATTTCACAACTTTCTGTGCCACAGAAAAACACCGTTTGTGCACACCTACAGGCTCGTACACTCCGCCGACGGCTGGTGTCTCCAGGTGGGTGAGCAGCTCCGAGCAGATCGGAAACAAACACACACACACACACACACACACACACACACACACATGCATGGCCGAGGAGGTTATTTACGGTTAGTGTATGTTTTTTTATTGCAGGATTTGAGAGTCAGACCTCAGAGGTTTAGGACCCTGGAAACACTCATAGAGACCTACAGAAGAGCTACAGCCTCTAATGTTGGTATAGTTCCCCTCACAGACCCACTGGACAAAAGTCAACTACAAAACAACTTGGGTACGACACACACATCCACACACACACACACACACACACACACACACACGGTTGGGCTACTTCATATGATACTTGTGCTGCTTTGTATAGTATAATACACTGTTGCCCTTAAAGTTGGAATAAAAAGTGTTTTCTTTATCTCCTCTCATGAAATGATTGTGACTCATTCTTGATAGACAAAGTTTATGTCTTCTCAAAACTTTATTGATATCACAATATACATACAAAACATATCGCAGTAAAAATTAAACCACAATTAACTTTTGCAAACTGTGTATTAAGGCTAAAACTGATTTGGGGTGATAGAACAATAAGATTAAGGGTTTTGTTTCAAATTTTCAAGCTCGGTCAATTGAACAGGAAACACATGCATAAGAATGGCAAATATTACTCTTACAAATGTCACTCAGTCACTAATGTTGAGTCTGGCCACCCCTGACACAGATCAATGTGTTAAGACATCGTGGCAAACTGTCCACAAGCTTGTTGGTGGTGTCAATGAGCAGGACTTCCCCCGTTTTCGGTCACATCCAGAAGGCAGAATTCCTTTCACCTGGTCAAAAGTGATTACTCATGTGTATAAATAGAAATAAAAGGAGGAATGTGTCTGAATTATTCCAACTTTGTGAGCAACAGTATATAAGGTAATTTCCGCTGTGTCAACCTGTAAACACTTCCTCAAAAAATCTGCTAGCATAGCATACACTGTTCAGCCACAACACTAAAAACCACCTGCCGTATATTGTGTAGACGTCAAAACAGCTCCTATCTGTCGACAGGAAGCCTCTTGTGGTGATCTGTCATGTCAGTCACTGCGATATTTGTAGTGGGTCCTGCGGGTTGCACTGTGAGACCTCCGTGGATCCAGTTCCCACGGATGCTTCACTGGATTGAAATCTGGGGAGTTTGGAGGTCGGATTAACACCTTAGGCTCTTGGTCATGTTCCTCAAGCCATCACCCGAGCAGCTTTTTTTGCAGTGTGATGGGGTGTATTGTCCTGAGGTTGAAGATTCCTGTTGTCCACTGGGTGGGAGGAGGTAACATCCACGTGGACCCAACGTTTCCTAGCCAAGCACTGCATCGCAACCAGACGATCATTGTTGTTTTCTTTACCTGTCTGTGGTTTTAAAGCTGTGACTGATCCGCTTAGACTTAAATCTGGTCATTGCACTCTCACCGACACAAAGACACACAGACACGCAGACATGGTTTGTGTTTGTGGTATGTCAAAGACTTCTTTTGCATTTCTGAACTGTCTTATTTGGCTCATGACCCACTCAGTCAACTGTAACCCACTTTCAATGCTCTCTACCACAGAGTTCGTCTACATGGAGGTGAACAGTGGCAGCTCAGTGTGTTGAGGCCTTTGTGTCGTCATGCAGGCGCCGGTAATCTGGCAGGAAAACGAGACGACAGAAACGTGCAGTATGTCATGCATGCCGCCTACAAACTTCTGGGGGACTTGAAAGTCAATGAAATGTGTTTAAATTAAGGAGTGTTTTGGTTACTGCTGTGTAAATACGATACACATCTCGGGTTTTATTTTCAGCCCACCTTTGTACGTGGTTTGTAATTGTTTTAATCTGTCTGTGAGAAAGTGTGCATTTGCCAGTTAACACACCAACAGCTTCCAGCCTTATGGACTCACTATGCAACACGTGCCCAACCGCCTGTATTCTCATGTTTTGTTTGATAAATAAAATCAATTTAACCATGTGTGGGTGAAGATCATTGATGTTGTTTGAGGTTTTTATGTTATTGATGTGTACAATCTAAGTGGTTTATCTGTGTGTTTGGACAACATGAAACAAAATGGCCTCTGACTGTAACAACATGGGAGTGCAGGGAAGGCAGATCACAAAAACTACTCTGACTTTGTATATTTATTCATTTTTTTTCAAGACACATCTCTTCAGAGTCACTGACGATACCAAATCTATAAGCTGATGTTCAGATCTGACCATGAACTCAGATCTCTGGTATCCGCTGTGCAGAGAAAGATAAAGGTAGAAGTAGTGTCTACTGTTTCCTGTGCCTTGAATGACCCCCCAGTTGGTCAGCCTGTTGGGTTTATCCTCACTCAGGCTTCACTCAGGCATTACAGTCAATCTGCCGGACACATAGTTTTTGATCAAAGTTTACGACAGCATCTACACTTCAGTCTTCTTCTTCTTCTTCTTTAAAACACTCTGAGACTCATAGAAGGGATTTCTTTAGTTGTGACTTTGATATAGTCGGTTTGGGAACTTGTTTGCTTTTTTGTGCACAACTAGATGAGAAGATGGATATAAACTGATTAACAATAAATAAATGCAGTCAGTTAGCTTAGCTTAGCACAAAGACCTGATACAGGAGGAATTGGTTAGCCTGATTTGGTTCGAAGACAACAAAATCCACTTAACAGCACCTCTTAAGCTCATTAATGAATGTGTTATATTTTGTCTTCAGTCCGTACCAAATCCAAACAGCAAAAACAGACATTAATGGCTATGTGTTAATTAGATTTAGAAGTGATTGTAAGCTTTGCAACCGTAAGGCTAGTCTCATACTCTGTCCCTCAACAAATACATGAGTGTTTGTTTGGGTCCGAGTGGCAAAAATTCACCATCAGATGATGCATGTGAAGCTCTGTGTAGATATCTGTGGCTGTTATGCTGCAAGGACATCAACTGTGACTGCAGTGGAATACATAGACTACCAACTCCTCTATTGGATGATTGACTAGAAACTACAGCAACTAGCCAGGATTATTCTCCCTTGCAGACTTGCAAACAGTTGTCTAAAACTATACTACTTTGTATTCTGCTTGGAAGATGTGTTTCATACATGTACAGTAGATTGTCATCGACATATTTTGTCTGCATGCAACCTACTGCTGAACTTGCAGAGTACACAAATTGTGTGCAGTATACAGATGTCCACAGACTCTCGTGGACTTGACACATGAGAGTGGAATCAGCTCTGCTGTCTAACTTTCTGCAACAAATCGAATATTTCCTAAAGATTTTATGTTCTTCTTCTAGGCTGAGTCATCAATACTTCTATATATTTTATCAAGGCTGCTTAAGCAACCTGTTCTCACTGGACAACCCTCTGTATGCAGGAGTCCAGATGAACAAAGCGGAAAAAACAAGTTAAGAAGACAATCTGTTACCCAACTTTATTTCACAAATAGCCATGTACACACATTTTATAGATGCTCCAAATAATAATCTCACCAGTCACACCCCTTTAGTTAAACAAAATTAACTTGTTTGAGAGAGCTAGTCAATCAAAACATGCTAAAGCCAAATCCTTCTTAACATAACGATGAAAAAGTCACACAATGTGGACTAACTGGACCTGACAGCTGGACGTTAAGAGCATAAAAACATTTAATCACAGTTTGCAAATATAAATACACATCAACACACCCTTTGCATGCACTCAACACATCTATTCTAGCTCCTGAATAGAAACATACAGTATACGAAAGCCTGGCAGTGCAGACAGTTAAACTAAAGCGTTCCTAATGTGTCCGTCTTGTTTCGCTTTCAAAATGACTTTCCAGTGTTCTGCTCTGTCTCCTGCACCTCTGTGATCTCTTCCTCAGGCTTCGCTGGTGGTGCAGGGTGGAAGAACTGGAAACACAACAGAAGAGACAACCTTTGGAACCTTTCGTGTGCGAGTTGTTGGATGAGTGGCAAACGAGCGCGTACTTACATTAAATGCATCATTTTTCTCCAAGAAATGTTTGTACTTGGGCGGTGGACGAGGAATCGGCGGAAACAGAATCTGAGACACCCTGAAAAACACACAAAATGAGCCTTCAGCAAGACTCTTAATAGACTATTTGAAGCTCTTCCGCTGTCTGCTGCACTCGATAAAATAATAGTTCATATATGTATTATTTTTATAAATGTGAAAGAAGCGAAGAAAGGAGGAAGGAAGTCCATCTGTCGTTTATCTTTTATTGCATTTTCTCTCATGTGGTGTTCCCCCTCCACAATGTATGCAGGAGGACTTCTGTGTGCAGCTTAAGGAAGCTTAGGGTGGCTGCTCTTGTGGCTTTTCAGAGAAAAAAGCACCTCCACAGTCCTCTCACTTCTTCTTTGTTTTCTTTGCTTTTGCTGACTTCTGGGTCCACCTTGCCCCCACATTGGCTCACATTTGAAAACCAGGACAGCGTTTATGTATCAGTTCAGAAACAACTCACCAAGGAAGATAAAAAAATTTACAAATTTAAAAAAGCAAGTTTGAAGAGCGGTAGGATGTGTGTAAAGGGGCTGTGAGTGAGTGTCACTGTGTGGCAGTCATGCAGGTTGGCCATTCAGTCAGAAAAAGACAACTTGTACCTCTGATTGCGCACCAACAGCAGCACAGCCAGGAGGATCATGGGAACTCCGAGTGAAATCGAGATGATCACTACAGGGTTGAGTTTGTAAACCGACTGTTCTACCGCTGCAAACACACAGACGCACAAAAAAGCCGATAATTGTACTGCGGTTGTTGCTTTTATAAGTAGTCAATCGTCCAGGCACTAACCTTTGAATCAGTGGATGAGGATGACAAGCTTACTTTAAAAAAATTTTAAAAAGCACTCACTGACAGTGGGACTCCAGGCACTCCACTCAGAAGATCCATGACACGTGTCTCCCACTATTGTCCTGATTCTCACTTTGTAGGTGCGGCTGGGATCTGCATTTGGCTCCCTAAAGGACTTATTGGCAGTGACAATTATGGGTTTTTCCTGTTTCAAAAAGATTAATCAGTAAACTCTCACTTTATGGACTTGGTTCCCTTTTGAATCTTGCCAGGTTTGTCTTGTTCAATATTTCTGTTGATTTGTCAGTTACCAGAAAGCAACACGGTAAACGGTGTGTATTATTTTTGAAATAACCAGCACCCACAGACATACTGTACCTTACTACTCATGTCCAGCTGATAGTTAAAACATCGGGTCGGGTTTATGTTTGATCGGGGGTGGGGCGCATCCCATGTTATGTCAAGGCCTCCATCTTTGATTGATGCAGAGATGTTCTGGGGTGGAGACAGAACCTCTGTGAAACACAGAACCACACATTTTATTTTATTTTTTTTTTACAAAATACAACCTAAATCTACACATAAGGCACTGGACACCGCTTATGTCGGTCTCTTTAGTCCCTCCTCCTGTACTCTACTGTGGCTCTGATGGAGATGAGCACTACCGGTGCTGACTTACTACATGATTCAAATCCTTGACTTAAACATGCTGCTGCTTAGAGGTTGTTGTTGTTGTTTTCTGTAGTAAAGAAAACAGTAACACAGATAAAGGAAGGGAAGAAGAAAGCCACCTGAAATGAGCGACCAACGGCAGATTTATACCCACAGTCTACATCCTGTTATAATTAATGATGTTTCGAGCTATCATGTATTCTGAATCTGTATTTCTGCACTGAACTTATGATCCTGTTTTGTTTTTTTCCACTGAGCACAGTGCACGTCCTTGAAAATAACATGGCCGGTGAGAACTGGGTCACATACTGGGAGACAACGGAAACTCCTCTTTTCTATCAGTTGCTTTAGATACACATCTTTTGGACAACACACACACACACACACACTTTGTATTTGATTCAAGCAGTTTCTGTTTACATTTCAGTGAACTTCCACATGAACAGTGGTTCGCCTGTTCACGTCACAGTAACTGACCAAATAAACTCGTACAAGTCCAACCTCTGACTGTACTGTACGGGGCAGTCCCAGCCCAAGAAGATATCTGTAACCTGAACCCAGAAGAACTCAGTTCAGCTGGACATGGGATTACTCTCTGAATCCAGCGCTGCCTCACTTTACCTGTGACCTAAATAAATTCAACATCTGAGAACTGAAGATTTCTCCGGTTTGTTCTTGGACTTCCAGCTAAACAATCCAGTGAGTCAGACTACTGCATCTTGAATCTGAATGCCTCCTTTGTTACTGGTACTGGTCAGAGGTGAAAAATTCTGTGGGTGAAATTATCAGGTTGTGTTGTTAGCTATTGCTTAAGTTATTGAAAAGGTTGATACCTACTCTCTCTCTCTCTCTCTCTCTCTCTCTCTCTCTCTCTCTCTCTTTTTCTTTTTTAATCAGATATGTAGTATTATCAGTTGCAACTACTCAACAAAAACTCTGTAACCGTGTTTGTCTTGGAGTGTTACCTAGCATGTCCATGTCGTATACGTAGGTGTACGTTTTCCACTCTTCGTGCCGGGACATGTTAAAGTGAAGGATTACATCTGACACCTCATGCTTGCCAACATTCAAAGACATTGACCCGACTCTTTCCACAGACGTCTGGTTTAGAGACTGAACCGCTGTGTCTTCATCACAAACACTGGGGAGAGAGAGAAGGAGATACACACTCAAAATAATGCTTACATTTGAATGTAGCCCTTTGGTAGACGCGCTTGTTTTAGCTTATGTTTGAAGTTTTCCGCTTTTATTGCTTTTCAGCATTGAATCAATTTAATTGGACTTTTTGACAAGATTTTAGCAAAAAACAAAAAAAGGACTCTTGAGATGGGAGAGACTATGTTTACAATAATAGCTGCCTGTTCTTCACAAGTCAAAGCTTTATAGGAGAGAGGAAAGACATGGGAGAAACTCTAGTGTTTTTGACCTTCAGACTAGCTGCTATATGTGGCAGACACCAAACACTGCACATATTCACAAACACACTTTCCCTACTGGGAAGCATGGTGGTGGCAGCATCATGATGTGGGGATGATTCTCTGCAGGAGGTCCTGAATGCAGTAAAGTGAAGCAAAATCAAGAGAACTACAACTTGGGAGAAGATTTGTTTCCCAGCAAGACAATAAGGCCAATGTTCTGGAGTGGCTGAGTCAGAACACACACCTTGGTCCAATTGAGAATTTGTTTTTGGACTTGAAAAGGGCCGTTCACTCATGAGCCCCACACAACCTGACTGAACTTCAGCATTTGACCCATGTTGTGGTCACCAAAGGGTTAAAGATGGTGAAATACTTCTGCAAACGTTTCATATTTTTATTCATTTACATTACTTTAAAGAAATAATATTTTACTTTAATATGAAACAATTTTTTTTTTTTGTAATTTCTTGAAAAATCCTTGAAACCACAATTCAATGTTGTGAAACAGTAAAAGGGGAACATTTCCAAGAGGTGTGAATATGTTTCATAGGCACCCGACAAAGAATAACTTGGAATAACATGTATGCACATAGACATGGGTTATGTTTCATTTTTAAAAAAAATAAAAAATACCTGACAGAAACAGAAAGCTGAGTATCCTTCTCTAATGTGCCAAATGACCAGGAGCAGTTGAGTGTATTTGTTGGGTAAAGGAGGCAGTTAAAGGTTTCTTCTACATCAGTCTTGTCCAAAGTATTATCCTGGCCTGTAGAGTCCTGCACTCTGAGCTGAAATAGTTTCACAACAGAAAAATAACAGAAAATAGAAAACAAAAAACTCTGTATTGAAGCAGTAAGATTTTACTGTATCTGTGCAGCATTGGGAAGTTAAAAAAAAAACAACAACAAAAAAAAAACTGTTAAATTCTGACCTCGTCAAGGTACTCTTTCTGCTGACAGACATTTAAGCTGTTGTCCTCAGTCTCTGTTATAAGAAAAGATACACACAGAGTCACAGCATTAGGAAAAACACAAGTATAATTCATGTTAGCCACGGCTTTCAGATTTCAACTCTGAGAACGTACACATAAAACATGCAGCTCAGTGTGATCATCAGCATTTGAAATCTTTTTCCCTTTTAAGAGGTAATTCTCTAAATTAAATGATGCGACTCTCCTCTAACAGTGCTAATGTTGACATTAGAATCTCTACTAAAGCGTATACAACTCAGAATTTCATGGATAGAAGACGGTTTTACACATCTTCACATTGAGCTGTTTTCCACTGCAGGAACTTGCAGGTGGCCTGAACATTTTTGAATGGACCTACTTAATTAATTAGGGAGTAGAAGTCACACAGTTTGTGAAAAGAAGATCATCTGAGTGCAGTGACTGTTTCTAAAGTGATTGTTATACAAAGACACGTTAACATAAGACCGTGAGAAGGTCATTAAAAATCACAAGTCAGGCAAATTAAGTCTCACAATATCATCACCAAGACACCTATGACTCCTCTGATGGAGCTTCAGCGATTAAGATAGGAGAGATGGTACATACGACTGTTGCCTGTTCTTCATCAGACAAAAAAATTAACTAGAGTTCACCAGAAACATATGTTGGAGACTCTGGCGTCAACTGGAAGTCAACATCCCACTTGTAACAGCAGTGAATGCTTTTCGTTCGCACTGTACGGTCAGTAGCTACTACTTTTCTTCGTTGTGGCACACTTGGCACTAACTGTCAGACCCTACACTATAATGGAAACTGTAGATCTGGAAGGGCTGATTAGGGTGCCGAGTCCCCGCAGTGAAGATCTGCCTCTAGAGCCAACGTGACATTGATGAGGAAAGAATGTTAATACCCTCTAATTAGACGGCAGCCGCTGCCCTCAAGTGAGAGTCAGTAAAACCCTTCATTTAAGAGTTCACACGACTTCTTGTCTTTCAAGTGTGACACAGTGGTTTAGACTGTTTGTGCTCTTGGACTATAAAAGTCCCACCGCACTGCATTGTTTCCCTTCAGACCCTCATCCTGACCTCCTTCAAACTAACGTTAGGTTACTTCTCAGACTGCCCCAGCCCTCTCTTGCACTTGCATTGCCTTCCAATATCTCCAGCGTCCAGGTCAGACCAACTGCTCAAACAGATAGAGTTCAGAATCCACCACAACAACGAAGGTAAAAGTCCTCAACCTCCAAGAAACCCTTGTGTGTGGCGATTAAGTGTTGCTCTCCATTTTTTGTTACACCTTCCCTCCTCCCCTCTCAGACCCTTAATTACTTCTTGTACCGTAATTTGCGGACTATCAACCACTACTTTTTTCACACGCTTTGACCACTTGATGCGGCTAATTTATGGATTTGTACGGGCTGGATCCTGACAGCGTGGAGCAGTGTCAAAAAATCAGCTATCACCAATGGGTTTCGAAAGGCTGGACCGCTGCCTGACAAAGAGAACAGCACAAGCTCAGGGGCGATTTTGCCTCGAGACGAAAGTGACATTGAACGACAACGAAAGAGAGACTGAGGAAGTGTGTGACAAAGCAATTCTGAGGCTTTTTGATACTGAAGAAGACGACTTAAGTTAAGAAGTGAAAAAAATCTTTCTATGTAAATATCTCATTATTGTTTCTTTTCAAAGTTAGTGGGTGCGGCTTATATTCAGGTGTGCTCAGTAGTCTGAAAAGTACGGTAATTTAAAAAAATATTGCAGTGAGTGGAGTTTGGCTCAGCGCTGGGGGGGGGGCGAAATCACACTTTAATCTGGGTGGAGGAGACAACTCATTTCCTTGAACATTATTTACAGGGAAAGAGGAAACAAACTGCGACACCACCCAGATGAAAACAAAAAACCTTTGACGAATAAAACATGGTTTACTGAAGAAAAATCATGTTTTAACAGCCATATTTTGATAGCCATTTGTCATCCTCCTTTCGTTATATTGGCAGAGTACGAGTGTAAATTGTGTGTGACGTCAAAAGCCACTCACCACTTTGTGACACCCACAAAACCAGCAAGCTGGCCCAAAGACTTGGATGAGCAGGAAACAGCTTCATTGCCAACCTGTGGTTTTAACACACAAAGTCGAACAGGTGCACATAAACACACAGTGATGAGCTTCAGTACTGAGCCAAGACACAGTCAGCATGGGGTCGCTATTTTATCAGAACACACAGTAATTTCCTGGCATTTCATACTTCCCCTTTTTTAGTGCTTACATCTACAGGCTGAAGGCTAGTGGCACATCTCAGTGGACAAACTATCAAACATAAAGTGAGTGCAAATTCTCCATCGTTCTGCCTTCGCCCGTGAGGTTTACCAACATAAGCAAGCCTACAACTATCTTTACATCCTCGAAAACAAAAAGACAGAATCACTGAGTTTATCACTGCTTTGCTTTGTCAACACACTCATACCATTAATGGACATAATTGGCTATTGTAGATTGAGGCTCTCTTAACCGAACTCAGAGCCATCAATCCTGCTATAGCACAGTAACATTGTTGTAAATAACGTGAATAAGACGCCGTTACCTCCTGCTGTTCCTCCACTCTGTCGCTCACTGTGCTTCTCACCGCAACACAAGACAATGACACACTTCAGGGGAAAGAAGAAGCATGACGTCACGTACTATACAAAGGTTCAGGAAACCAAGTGCTGCACTGTAAAAACAAAACTTGAACACAACAGTGCGCAACAGTCTTTTGTGAGTTATGACAACTTCTAATGAAATAATGTTCAACCAGTGAACTGTGTTAGCGTTAGGGGAATACAGTCTATGGTATTTTAAATCACCAATTCACAACTGGGAGCACGAACACAAGCTAAAATCCAGAGTTATCATGCCAATCTATTTAATTCACCACAACTGGAAATTAATCAAAGCAGATATTTTTGTTCAAGTTACACTAAATATAAAGTTGGTTCAGCCACCAATATTATTACATCAACACAACTTGTCAAATGCCATTTTGGGGGGTTTAAGGTTTTAATTTTTTTGTCTTGCAACCATGCATTTAATTAAGTGGTAGCAAAAGGTTCTCTAATTTACTTGGTAGAGTGTGTTTCCATTTCTCTATTTTTCTCCACTCACGCGTACACCGCAAGATTAAAATATTTTGATCACCCTCCATTAAACTTAATATTTGAATGTAGCTACTTTTAAGGAAACAGAAAGAAGAAGTCTCGGAAAAAGCATTTAGATATGAGACCTTTCTTCTTTCTAGTAAGATAAAATAAAATAAGATAGAACTTTATTCATCCAGAAGGAAATGATTGGTCCAATTATAACGCACTGCCAGTTTAGGGAAACACTGCAGATACCATAGACAGGACACCTGATGTTACAATTAATGCATTAATTGCTCATTATTCATTTTTAAAAGCCGATCTCTGACATTATCCAGCTGCTGGTTGTAGGCACAGCCGCAGCTGCTCTACATGACTGTGATGACTGGATGCATGGTTACAGCTCGGACTGCGGCTGTGGTTCAGATTTAGGAGTTCAGGAGTACAACAGCTTTAATGCAACATTTAGCAATGCTAAAACATCACTGCACACAATCATACAGTATCATGAAGCCTGTAGACCATCACTGGTTGCAACAGAGACGCGTACTCAGCTGTGTGGGTGTGGTGCATCCTCAGCTTGGACACAAGTCTGCACCATTGCATTTAGAGGAGCCAGTTCAGTCTTTCACCGACCGCTGCTGAGACAGGCTTCATAACTGCAGTTTTGAGACGACAGCTGCCACCGAGAACCACAGATCGAACCACAACGGCAGCTGAAGTCCAAACAGTAGCCATATATCCAGCCACAGCTTCACTATCACAACCCACCAGCCCAGAGCAGTGTGTTTGGGTTTTGTAGCATGAGGATGTAAAATACTGGGTGGTTTGACGTAGACTCCAGACAGGGACACTCAGGAGGTTTTCACTTCAGTTCAGTGGCTGACAAATTGACTGATTTCACCAAGTTCAGAGCTACTAACGGTTTGCAGTGACTTGATTACGATTTATATGATATTTAATTACCACTGGAACTGATCAGCCGCAAGATTAAAACTATTGGTAGGTAAAGTGAATACCATTGATGATCTTGTTAAAATGTAATGTTCTGCTTCGAAATGCTGAGTCCTTTGACACCCACTTAAACATTAATCAGACTCCTCCATAGCAGCATCACTCCCCGACACAAACAACCTCCCCCAGCAGGACAATACACCCTCCCACTTCTCAGGAACTGCTCAGGAACGACTCAAAGAGCACGCCCAAGACCCCAAGGCGTTGACCTGCCCTCCACACTCCTCAGATCCTAATCTGATCAAGTATCCAACGCATGGATGCACATGAACAAGCCCAAATCCATGGAGGCTTCACCACAGAACCCTGAGAACCCAAAGGCCCCACATGAAACCTACAGAGGTCCTATGGGCCAGAGCTGTTTTGGCGCTATGAGGGCACTTACACTATATTAAGCAGGTGGTTTTAATGTTGGCAAATCTACGCATATCAACAACAGAAGGGTTAAAAACAGAAACACTTCCGTGTATAATGCAATGCAGTTTGACAGAACAGAACCACAAGCTTCAGGACTGTCAGACGTTGGCATGTTGTCATACATCACTATTATTATTACGTTCCGTGGTACTTACATCGAAAACATAAAAGACTAATGGGTAACTAGTAAAAACCAATAATGGGTGTGAAAGGACTCAACATTTCGAAGTGAACACTACATTTTAATAAGATCATCAATGGTATGTTCTCGGTCCCTCGTGCCTTCACTGCATTTGGGAAGACTGTGTTTTGTCACAATGCCCCTTGGTCCTGGAGTCTGCTGCAGAAGACGCTCAAATCGTCTGACCTTGTTTCTTTGGGGGATTTTAAATGTTTGTTACAGTCTGTAAAAACAGAAGTCTGTAGCTGCTTCAATTGAGTTGTCATGTACTGTATGTAGTTCATGTATTTATGCCTTGTAGTGATTATATATTATTTTTTCTATTTTTTGTGTTGTATTGTTGTAGCCCTGGTTGCTGCCCTCTTGGCCGGGGCTCCCTTGCAAAAGAGATGCCAATCTCAATGGGACTCACCTGGTTAAATAAAGGCAAAAAAATAAAAATAGTTGTACTATGTAGCTTTACCTGAACGTGTCAGTGAATTTGATGATTCGATCCTCCCTGACCTCATCAAACATTTAGCTATGTTGCAAATAGACTTTTACAACTTCTTAGCACAAAAAATGAGAATCAAAAAGTGTTCCCTGACCGGGAATCGAACCCGGGCCGCGGCGGTGAGAGCGCCGAATCCTAACCACTAGACCACCAGGGAAGACGTCATACCCAACGCTGTCGATTTGAGTTAACGTGTGTTCCCGGTACGTTTGACAATACTGTTCCACCTGTACAGAATTAAACGACCTTAAACGCTGAGTCGTGTATTTTTGTCTACACTTTGGTGACTCGAATCAGGAAGCAAAGTGCTGCCCCGTGTGGTAATGCTGACAAACGCCACATTTTTTTTTCTTCTTTAAGTTGCCTCGACTGTTTCTCTGTTCAGCCACAAGGAGCCGAAATGAGCCTCAATCTCCCTACTCTTGATCAGGGCACTTTCTGCCATTCCATTCACTCAAGGATCCACAGGAAGTCACTCTGCTGCTCCTCCGCTAGGTGGTACACACGTGTGACTCCCACAGTCCTCCATTGTGTGTCTTTACGCGGCAGCTACAACTGAGTCTGCTGTTACGCGGAACTTGTGCATCGGTTAACAACACCAGAGCCTTCACAGCCACATAGGTTCATTCTGACTGCGGACTTTTGAAAATCGAAAGCAACCAGAACAAGGGGATTTCAGCGGGAACACTGTGAGTACCTTCTGACGGGAACCTAAGCCAACAAAGTTGTAAGTAAATAAGTGTGTCCAGGTCTTCTAATTGTTGATCACCTTTTTATTGTTACTCGCAGGTTCAACATGTCCGCAAAAGACATAGTGAGGCGCAACAAAACAGACATACACACGACTTTATGTGGAGATTATAGATTAATCCTCAACAAGGTCCATGAGAAGAATCTGATAACTACACGGGAGTACAACAATCTAAAGAGCATCAATAAAGAAGATGTGGAGGGACACGTTGTTGAGCTTGTGGATAAGATCATGAATAAAGGAGAAAAGACCTGCCAAGATTTCCTGGACCTCCTGGAAACTGACGAC